AGAACAAAACTAATTTCTGCAGTAGCCAAATTGCTCCCTCACAACTTTAATGCCAGGAGCTCACAAAGTGGAATTTTGGCTCACAAGACTCCACAGCTTAGAGGGAGCATTGATGACAACCCTATTGTCTTGGGTTAAAGATAACAGATCCCCCCCCCCCGCGCTGTCTTTAATCCTTGTGTTGTTTATTTCTCTGCTTGGAATTACTACATAAAAGAATAAAAAACTTAATTTTTTTAAAAAAGATAACAGATTTATTCAGTCTTTGTCTTAACAGAAGCTTTATGCCACAGGCATAAGTGTAGGGTGACTGCTATTCTGTCTGAGGTGAACAAGAGGCTAGGCAGGAAAAGGGTCCTTCATGAGCAGGGACCAGGTGGCACTTGTAATTATAGGTTGATTGGAGTCTCTACAAGCAGAACACCCCTTGATCAGGACTGGTATCTTGGCCAGGTAGCTGGAGGAGGTTATGTAGAAAGTACAACACTTCAGAATCTGGTCTAGTCGATGCTGTTGAATTAGCAAATATCCCAGCCAAGAAGAAAGGTTAAATTCATGGTTTTAGAGGAAAGCAGCTTTCCCCTTCCTATGTGACATCTCTGGGGGCTCATCATGGAAAAAGTTAGATGGGCTCTGATTCTGCTAGGAACTATAGATGTGGGGCAAGATTCTTGCTTGGTTGTATCAGCATGGTCTATAAGTCAGGTACTGCTTCCATACAGGACCACCATCTCATGAGTGTGCTGTTTCTGGTGATCTTGGTGGTGAAGAGGAAGATCTGGGGAGCAGGTGTGGCCCATCCTTGTCCAATCCTCTAAGACCTCTGGATCTAGGTGACCAAGTACTATGGAGCTCTGGCAGAGTTTGGAATCTTCAACAGAGGACCAGTCAATTCCCAGGTGTTCCTTCTGCCCCTCAGATGAGGGATGGACTCTAGATTGGAGGGTTGCTTAAATTCTGGCTGCACCACAAAACTTTCTGTTATACTGTGATTCAAAAATGCAAATGTAGTTCCTTAGGAGGAGGAGGCAGTGTCCATACTTACTGATTTGGCTACCAACAATGAGAGACAGTTTGGGGTGGGGTTTGAATGCAGAGGAAGGAAACAAGTATGTGGATAGAGTAAAACATGCAATTTGACTTCCAGTTTCATTTGGGCAAGCCATAGACCTCTACCTGATCTGCCCACTGGACAACAAAACATGGAGAGTATAATATGTGTGGTTGGCCATGATTTATGGTACACATAAACTTGGCAATGTGTGTGGTTGGCCATGATTTATGGTACACATTATAAACTTGGCAATGCAAGGACATTGCCATTCATCTGTGGCTGCATCTGTGGCTGCTGCTTTTAGTTTGGGATTTTTTTAGTTTTCATTCTGATAATGTTTTATTATTTTTATGCTGGGTTATTGCTTTTAATGGGTTGGATGCTTCCAGCTTCCTGCTGGTGCAAATCTTTCCCAATTGCCCTCATTACTGCAGTGCCCCCCCTCCCGGCATGTATTTTTCCAGGAAGGTCCCCAATTTTTTCCCCAGGGTATGGAGCAATTGCTGGAGGAAGAAGAACAATCTGATATAGAGTACATAAAAAGAATATTATCAAGAAGTCCCCAGTCTGAACTTAAATCTTTCTGCAAAGAGGTATACTTGAAATAGTTTTAGTAAAGACATTTCCAGAAAGAATTCACAGGGATATAACAGCTGCTTTCAATAGCTAATCCTTTGATTATATTATTTTGCTGCATCTTCTGAGGCATTTGCTTCAGATAAAAAATGTTTGTCTCCCATGGGAAATGTCAAATCCAAACAATTATTTCAGTTCAACTCCCTGAAGAGCTCTGTTCTCTGTTCAACATACAACTGTAAGTAAACCCAGACTTTAAGTAGAGGAAAAAAAGAGAGTGCTACCTATCTTTTTCAAGAGAGTTTGAATATTCTGGGTCTATTGAAGCCATAACAAAACTTCTCTTGATTTCAAAGGTGTGAGTGTATAAAGACACGTGAATTGCAGATTTTGAAAAGAAGTTCTGCCAAAGCACAAATATTGAAAAAACATATTATTTGAGAATCATGGCTCATAATGTTGGAAAATGCACGGTCTATCATGTACAGATAAAGAAGTTGACAAAAACATCCTGCAGGGGTCAGCAGAGGGGACAATTAGTTAGCATAATGAGACTAGGGACTACCTACTATTTTCCTGTCTACTGATTAGGGTTTTTCCTATTCCCGCTGAGATCCTGTATGTTCCCTCAAGAGCACTGCGATCGGGGAATTTCCATCGCCTTGAAGTACCAGGCCCCCGAGTCGTGAAGCTGTCCCAAACCAGAGCCAGGGCATTTTCAGTGGCAGCTCCTACCTGGTGGAATGAGCTCCCGGAGGAGATCTGGGCCCTGCGGGACCTTGTACAGTTCCGCAGGGCCTGCAAGACGGAGCTCTTCCGCCAGGCCTTTGAGTAGGAGCCGCTGCCACCACTATTCCATCACCGAGATTTCATCTTTCATCTACCACACTGTGAGGGGGCGGTAGGTGTCGCCCGATTGAGCCTGGGAAACAGCACTCCTGACACTCATGCTTTTAAAGAATTTCTGCCACCAATGTGATTCGTCGCACATCTAGGTTAATTTATGTAAATTATTGTAGCACCGGTTTTAGCTTGTATATAACATTGTTTTATTGTCTTAAATTTTACATTATTGTCTTAAATTTTAATAAACCAGCTTAATTCTTTAAACAGCTTGTGCTCCCTTTTACTGCATATCTATACTCTGCAAACACATAAGACATATGTTGTTCACATGGAAATTAAATCCCAACTAAAGTCCATCTTTCAGCTTATGTATTTAATATTCTGCTTCTGAATGCTAAAAATTATAATTGATAATTTCCAGAAACCCTTGGAAATAACTGGTGACTTACTGGCTGATTTTTAACTTGCAGAGGTCAGGCAGGAAAGTTGAAGGCCAGTGATGGAAGAAAGTGACTCAGCCCAGTGTCAGGGGAGCCTACCAATCATAAATTAAAAGAACCAATAGTAAAAGGTTAAAACAATGAAACCATAAAAATATTCACTAGTAAACATCAATTATGCAATAAAATAAGCAGCAATAGCACAAGCCACCTAATCAATTACAAGCAGGGAAAATAGGAGATAAGCAAAAAAACCCAATAATCCTTGAGCAAAATGCCTGGGTAAAAGAAATACCTTTACCTGGTGCCAAAAGTTTAATAGCTTCAGAACCAAGTGAATTGGTGTGCGTGTGTGTGTGCATGTTTAAAGAGCCTCAAGAAAAAATCCCTATCTTTTGTGGCTCTCCACCTTACTTCATAAGGCGGGACCTTAGCACATGGGAGCTTTACTTCAGAAGGTGGAAGCCATGGATAATCTTAACTAGCATACAGGCTCCAACGGGAGCAAGGAGTCTTTTAAATATTCCAACAGCAGCCATTTGGGGCTTTAAAGATAATGACCAGCACTTTGAATTGGGTGAAGAAGTAAACCACAGGCACTATAGTTATTTTAAGACTGCCAAGGTATGTTCCCTGTAACTTACTTCAGCCAACAATCTTGTTGCTGGATTTTGACCCAACTGAGGCTTCCAAACAATCTTCAAAGGCAGCTCCATACACACTGTACTATAACAATCAAACCTGGTTGTGATGAGAGGATGGATACTGGTGGGCAGATGTTGCTTTTCAATGGAAGTCTGCATCTGAACCAACTAAAATTGGCCAAAGGGGTACACATTGCAAGGGGCACAAGCATGAAGCCAACAAAAAGCAGAGCAGGAATTGGCCATCAGTTGTGGATCTCCACAGGAGGCAGAAAGGGCCTGTAGGCGATTTCTCACTAGAGCTGCCTCGCAGCACAACGCCGTTTGCCCCAACACAAACATGTCAATTTCACACCCGAGGCTGCGGGGCTGCATTTGACTTGGGGCTTCGCCCGATTTCCTCCGCAGTTTCATGATCCTCAAAAACCATTGTGATTGTGTTGGGGCAAAGGGCGCTGTGCTGTGAGGCAGCTCTAGTGAGAAATCGCCCTAGAATGTGGGAGCTTCAACCTGTCTCTTGTGTAGTCCTCTGCTTGGTCCAGGCTTAAGCTTCTTCCACCTTTTTTGTTCCTAGAGGAGATACTGCATATGAATGTGTCCACCCAGGAGGTTCCTAGTTTTCTTGTTCCACGGGAGTCTTGAACAGGAGGCTGCTGTTAGAGAGGAGGCAGAGGGGTCTTCTCTGGAGCTTCCATAATGCATGAAGTCTCAGGCATGGTGGGGACCTATGTGCAAGATTCCTTTCAACAATACACATTCTAAAAACAATGAATCAGTAAAACAATAAAGTAAGATTAAGAATTGAAGCAAAACCAGAGAAAAATGCAGTGAAAAGTATTTAAAACAGCAACTGATGAAACCAATAAAAACCTACTAAAACACAGAACATGTTATGTAGTGGGTTCCCTCTGAGAACTCGTGCCTTACCGCTCATCTTTTATTGTCACAGTCCTATGCTAGCTTCAGTCCTGAGTATTTCCAGCTAAAGAATTTCGGGCCACAAATTGGGATTCCTAGAGTCTGAAGCCTTGAAAAGCTGTTTCCAGTCAAAATATACAGAACTGAGCCAGGTGGACTAATGGTCTGACTGAGTCCAATGCATCTACATATACGAAAGCCATACATGGACGCTGTGCTAATTTTGGCCTTGAGATTAATGTGGATTGTTTTTGGAACACCTTGCTGGTTCTCAGATGGAGAGCAGCATAGGAACATTAAGTGGAAGAGCAAAAATGATAGCATCCCAGGGTCCAGATTAGCAAAGATGTCAATCCACTATCAGAAACTGGGGGGACCCCCAATACAGTTGAGAACAAAGCACACAAACCCCTTTAGATCCAACCTCAGTTTCTGTTTTGTTTTTCTGTTGCATAAACTATCCACAATGACAATGTAATAATAGTGGGCTGATAAACATTGACCATTTAGTATTACAAATTTTTAAACACCTGCCCCAAAGAGATTCACTGCAGAAGAATTTCTTCTGAAGATCGTTCCTGTCACAATCATTTTAAATGTTTTGCGAAACCAAGGGTAAAATAAGCCATAAATGATGGGATTACATGTAGAATTGAAATACCCCAGCCAGAGAAAGGCATTGTACAAACCCTCAGGGGTTGAGAAACCAATGTAAGGGTCTGTTATGGTAAGAACAAAAAAGGGTAACCAGCATAGAACAAATGCTCCCATTACTATGCTTAATGTCTTAGTAGCTTTGCTTTCTTTTTTAGTACAAAATTTCCCTTTTCTGTCAGATTTTGATGCGTGTGGAATCCGAGCGATTTGTGTTGCATGCTTGTTTGCCACTTTAAATATGTGGAGATAAATGCCCACCATGATTGTTCCAGGAAGAAAGAAGGCTATGAAAGAAGCCATTACTCCCCAGAGCTTATTAAATATCAGTGAACAAAAGCCATAGCAATATAGAGAGTCCACATAGTCTTCAATACCATCAATATTTAGTTCTGAGAAAACTAGGCCAAACGCAAACAGGATTGGGACAGACCAACTAATCAATAAAAAAACTTCAACAACGGGAATAGTTATCTTGGTAATGTAATGAAGGGGAGCACACACGGCATAGTAGCGGTCAACAGAGATAAAGCACAAATGGAAAATGGAAGTGGTACACAGCATGATATCACAACAGGTATGAACTTTGCAGAAGAGGTCACCAAAGTACCAGCACGAGTCAATTGACCTCGCCATACTGAATGGCATCACCGTGAGGCTGAGCAAAAAGTCTGTGGTTGCCATGGAGCAGATGAGAATGTTGGTTGGTGAATGGAGCTGTTTGAAATGGAGGATAGAGATAATCACAAACATATTTCCACACATAGTAAGCAGTATGGCCCCCACCATAAAGAGATAGATAACAAAAAGGCTGATTGGAGACCTCAGATTTTTAGGACATGAATTATTCACAAATTCAAAGCAGTATTGCACATCCAATGAGCCCCAGAGTGTGGTTGAGTTCATGATTTAGTGCCTTTGATCTTCCATTAAAAAGGAAAAACAGCAGCTCCTATAAAAAATAAAATAAGCAGCATATAATAAGTATGTTCTGGGACAGCTTGTACACCCATGAAAGGGAAAATACAGGTGCAAATTATCTCTGTTACATGGGTTGGGACATTATTGTGGCAGCAAATTTCTAATTACATAGTAAATAAAAAGGTCCTTTCTTCAGGCAATTATTTTATTGGGTGACTTTATAGGATCATAAACTACTCTCTGTCTACTTTTTCCATACCAGGAATAATGTGATCAATTTATATTGTCCTTTTTTCCTAAACTGAAAAGCTTCAGAAGTTTTGACCTTAGCTCACAGGGGAGATACTCTACACTTCTGATTGTTTTGGTTATTCTGGCCCCAGTCACACGGAGAATTTGCTGTGCGAAAGGCACGAATGTCGGGCGGATTTTCGGGGCACGATAACACGGCAATATCTGGGAAGCATAGCGCACCCATGGCCAACCTGTGGCGTCCCGCCGAAAATGTGGAGTTAAAAAGTACCAAGGAAAGTGCACTAGTATCCGGAAAACACGCAGCACAGGTGGCCATCTGATCGCAGGAGCGCTAGTATTCCGTGACGTCCGGTGCCCGTCCACATCCCATCGCAAACCGGATGTTTTTTGTAAGCGCGTGTACACAAACATGAAACTGAAAGCAGTGCTGCTCCGCAGAACTGCACACGCGCAAAAATGCGAAACGCTTGTGTGATCGCGCTGCGCCGCTTCTTTGACATGCTGCAGCATTGCTGTGTGATCACCAGCTAACAGCCTAAGCACGGAGACTCAGGGGACTGTGTGATCAGGCTACCACGCTTTATTTTGCTCCGGGGCGAACAGCCATGCCTCCCCCCTGCATTATCTGGCCCATGTGACTAAGGCCTCTGTTCATTTTACACCTGTCCCAGCCCCATGATATGTTTTTTGAGAAAGGATGGCTGCTCTCACTATCTCCCCTCCTCCCCTTATTTAGTATTCCCAAACTGCTGCACTGTAGATTTAAAATAAAACCATTTTGTTGCTGGCCGCTTTGTTCTCAAATCCCCTTTCCTAATAACCCTTAGTATGGAACTGCATTTTTCACTGCCACTAAACAATGAGACAACATTTTCACTTAACTACTTGCCATAACCCCAAGACCTCCTTTCTGGTTTTTCACTGCCCATTCGTCCCCTATCAATATGTATGCATAATCTGAATATTTGTACCAATGAAAAACAAAAGGTATCTAGTGACGCTTTATAGGTGAACAGCCCAAGCTGATTTGTGAACTAGAATTTAGGCCAACATACAGCTTCTCATCTTTAAAGTACCACAAAACTCTTTTTTGTTTTTGCTGTAGCAGACTAACATGAGTAGTCTCTGGGTTTCTTTCTTTCTTTCTTTTTTGCCTTAGAATGAATGACTTTACACTTACTCTGGAATTTATTTGCCATTTCATTACTCATTCACTTCATTTGGAGAAATCTTCTTGTGTCTGCTTGGGTTTTCACAGTACTATATGATTTTATATGTCATCTTGAAACCTGGCAACAAAATGATAAGGTTGTTATGGGGAAGGGAAATTCTTCACTTTTTAAAATATAGCCATTGATTCTTATTATTGTGTGTGTTCTCTTTTAAGAGAGGGATTTCTCTTTGAAGAGAAATCGATGCACCCTTTTGTAACTTCCATCCTTGCAGGGGGGGGGGTTATGTTGTGCACCACAGATTAGCGTTCTAGCAGGACGATAGGAAGATTTGGGAAGATTGCCTGCCTCTGAGCATCTATACAGTAAAATTCTGAAATTATGCAGAACCTCCTTTCCTGCCTCTCCTCTCTTTGAATTTCTCTTTGATCAAAACAGTCTTGATTAGAAATTGACCCCAAATTCCTAAAACAAGAGGAAAAGATAAGGATTGCTGGATTTTAGGGATAAATTTGATAATGAGGAATTGAGAGAATTTCTTTTAAGTATCCTACGAAGTAATAAATGTTAAACTACTGATTCTAACACAGATTCACTGGGGGACCCCACTGCTTACTTTACTCTGTCACAAGAAGTGAACATTTACACCTTATCCCCTTGCTTCTTGTTGCTTATTCAGTTACTAGCCACCTGGAATACCCATCTTATCTCTCCGAATAGTCACCCTTACAGTGCAGTCCTAACTGGAGCTGCCCCCTTGAATGACTGCAGTGGGCTTGGAAGAGAATAAATCTGCTCAGGGCAGCACTGTCCATTATTTCCATAACCTGGGGAAAGGCAGGTAATACAACCTGAGTATTTTCTCATGCTGCTTTCGACCTTCTCAGATGAGCTGTGTAAATTATAATGGAATGGCAGCTTTGTTTGGGTCAGTCTGCGGGTCTTGAGCCCTGGCATATGCGCCAATGTCCTAACCACCTTCTGTTGTCTGATTGTTGTTCCCAGTGACCCTGACTATATTTTACATTAGAACCCCTGAATTAATGGTTAATATAATTACTCAGATATATGACACCTTTACAAACGGTACTACAATAAGCTTTGATGGACGCAATGCTTCTCTCTTGACTTCATCAGGCAAGAGTACAGGTGATTTATACAGGCAAAAACATTCCTGTTAATGATATTCTACTCAGCTGCTTGCTTTGAGCACAAAGTTGGTTAGGATTAAAAGAAATGCAATACCCATAATACATAATTCTGGTCTGGCAGTACAATTTGCTAGTAGAAGAAAACACAAAAAGACCTGCTGAGATTGGAACAAAAGATACCACTGTTAACAGAACCCCATGTTAATTATTTTGTTATGGAAGCAATTCAACATCATGTTATTTCTTAATATGATTTGTGAACATTTAAAAAGCAATGTTGGAACAAAGGAAAAGACACATGGTAGTGTTATCAGTGACGTTCAGCCACAGAGACATTTCCCTGTGATTTGCTAAGTCGATGCACAATTTTGTCACATGCTCCCCTTCTGCAGTTTGTAGCACACTGTGCTAATATGAATACATTATGAAAGGGACTGTGTTTTGGTTCTGCCCTGGTTCAAAGTGAGGGGATACTCACATAGTATTATACCTGTGATGAGTCTGTGATTCTATATTATTTACAATGGGGAGTGAAGCTTTTCTGGATGAACTGTCCCAATTAAGACCTCTTCACAAGGTCCTCACCACTAGATATATATCAGTTAAAGATGTCAATACATTCTGAAAGTAATGAATAAATGAAAGTATAACATATAGCTTCTTAATAATGTAAACCAAGTTATTATCAGAGGGCATAGGTAGTTACCATGGTAAATACAGTAATATTAATAAGATCTTACTAAGAAATAGCCTATGGATAGGACAGTGCCCCCGCCTCAAGGCACACAAATCAGCAGTTTTATGGTGTAAGGACTATTTGCCAGTGTTTGCATAATAATGGTAAATAGTAAAACTAAATAATAATGGTAACACTGACTTCAGTGGAAAGAAAACAGGGTCTTTGTGTACCTACGGAGGCATATGTTCCAGTGGTGCTTTGTGAACCACTAAAATTATAATTTTGAAGAATGATCTTCACTATATATGGAAGAGAGCTACATACCACTGAAACTCATAGCTGCTTCATGCCCCATGTATTCACCTCTTGCAATCTTTTTATAAAAAGATGCACAGCCATTCCTGTATTGTTAGGTAGACTTGTTGGATTGGGAATATGTGCCCAACAAAAAGATAATGCTGGAAACCACTCAAAGATGCATGGAACCCCACAAAAACTATGCCAAAATTACTTGGTTGTTGGAACACTGCTTTCTGATTTCAGGATTCAAAGATTTACTCCAGAGTAGGTCTATTGACCTCAGATTATGCCATTTGTACACTGTAGTTAGAAAAACAAATTATGATCTCTGGGCTGCTTGTGAAAATAAAATATGAACTCCAGATACCTGTATGAAGAAAAAATATGGATATGTATATTTTAATACAATCTCTAACAGTGCAATACTAATCAGAGTTTCACCCTTCTATGTCCATTGACTTTGGACTCTGCTTATTATTATGTTTCAAGTCTAAATTTTTAACAAAATTTATTAACATACAATAAATATTAAACTGATGGGCATGATACCCAGGTATCACTATAATGCAGACAAAAAACCACAGGAAAGACACCTTTAGAACATATTTTGTTTCATCAATCATTAAATTTAAGGACATCTTATTCTCATCTCTACATTTCTGTGTCAAAAGTAAACTGGTTCCATAACTCTTAAAGCTTTACCTGATCATTTTTGAATTTCAGATCTTCCCAGGAAACAGTATTTTCAGTGGATTTTTTCCTCAAGACTTATTTGTTAGTCTCAATAAGAAGGTGAATGTGGCTTGGTTGTGCTTGTTCTTCATATATGGCTCCTTCCAGACATAACAAATACAAATTTTAAAGCCTTCTACATGTGATGATTATTGTGATGCTGATATATTCCTGGTACAGAAAGAGAGAAAAGAAGACAGGAAGGTGCCTCTAATGAGATTCATAAGTTTCTCATCATCAGACCTGGTTTTTAGCTAATACTCTGCAACTTTTCATTCTGTAACTGTGAATGAGAACATTCATGGCTCCAAAGATAACTTACAGTGAAATCTTTTTGGATTGTATCCTTCATCCTAGTAAAAATGACATCCATGAGTATCTAACCTTTCACAAAGCAGTCCTCCTAAGCCCTTCTTTTATACAACCACCTCCCTACTCAGGGATGGACTGGCCATTTAACTTACCAGGAAAGTCCTCTGTGGACTATTGCCCTGGAGGGCAGCTGACAGTAAGGAGTAAGCACAGTCAAGAGCAAGCCAATCTTAGCACCCCATCTAGTGCTATGAGCCAGCTCTTCAGGGGCTACCACTCAGTTCTGTCTTAGCAACAATAACCAGTGTCAGTTTGTGGAAGAAGGTAATGGCTGACAGACTTGATGCCCACTGCTGGTACTGCTAGATGGGTCCACGTTAAATGGCCCTGCAGTGCTCGTTCACAGCTCCAGATAGGGCATACAATGTGCATGCTCCTGCAGCCATTTTAAATTCCCAGTCTGTCTCTGTCACCACTCCTTACAGCCACCTTCCTGGGAACCCTTCTCCTTTATACAAACCACCTTCCCTTGCCTGCCTTAGGCATGATTTACATTGGTGCAGCATTCCACATACCCAACAACTTTTAGAATTGGGGCATTGGTGCAGCATTCCACATACCCAACATCTTTTAGAATTGGGGGTTGTTCATTCATTTATTCATTCATTCATTCATTCATTCATTCATGTATTAATTATTTGATTTACATAATTTGTACCTTGTCTTTCTGCCCCATCGCAGCCAGCAAAGCAGCCTAAGAGTTCAAATAAACATCATTAATTATTTGATTTACATAATTTGTACATTGTCTTTCTGCCCCAACACAGCCAGCAAAGCAGCCTAACAGTTCAAATAAACATAAAAGTGTGCCATAAAAACAATTAAAACCAAAATTAAACTTTATATTTAAAAGCACAGAAAAACAGTAAATAAATCCTCAAGCAAGAAGGGATCACTGAAGGAATAACATAGTATGACAGACAGGGTAGGTTCTGCCCTTCCCTAAGACTGACCAATGAGAGCTTTCCCCCACCTTTTAAAAATAATTTTATCGAGAAACAATAAGGGTACAATATCCATCAACTTTCAACAGTGGTACATCTATAAAGTAACACAAATCAAATAATTAACATTCAGTATTATGATAATCATTCAATTGTCATTACAAAGCTAAAATTAGCTAAGGCATCAGAACCAAAAGGACTTTCGTGTTTGAATTTCCATTTCAGAAATGGAGCCCACATTAATTACACATGACTCATTGACCTGTAACTCTGAACTTTGAATGTCATCTGAATTTTTTTCCATAATAAAATAATCCCACAATTTTGGAGGGTTTTTGTCTTTCCACTTTATCATTATTATGTTTTTTGCTGCCGTGACCATTGTCATAATCAGGTCTTTCTCAAGTTTGGAGACTTTAAAGGTTTCCCAAACCTATCTTATGGTATCTATATAAGAACAGAATAGATATCTCATAACCAACGGAGAATGACGCTTCGTTATTAGTCCCCACAGCTTTCCCCCCCTCCATCTCCCTCCCCCAGTAATATCAAAGTATTGTATCAACCATGGTACAAAGGTAAAGACAGAAAGCATGATGTACCAAACTGTCATACATTTGACCCAGGAGATAAAAAAAGACAAACCATGCGGTCCCTGAACCTCACAGGGAAGAGCCGTGGTGGCTCCACAGACCTGTGTGCCTAAAAAAGAAAGAGCTAAGCAGGAGAGAAACCACCATCTCTGTCCACCCACTTTACGCTAATTAAAAAAGTGAAATAAAACACCACCAGCATAAATAGAAACTACACAATAAAAGTAAACATATATAAACTTTGCAGAGCCAGTTAAGTTGCATGCCATATTGGAAATGTTCTGTCTTTCATGGGTGACAGCAGCTCCAGTTTTCTGTTTTGCGATTTTTTTGTCTCTTCCATTGGGACTCCGATATCCAGCCCTTGCAAGAGGTCATAGCCTTGATCCAGATCTTCTGCTGCCAGAACCTTGTTGTGGTGAGTAACTTGAATAGCTCCTGTAGGTAGCCATCGAAATTTAATTTTCGCTTCATTTAACAGTGTTGTTATTGGTCTGAGAGACCGCCAGGTCTGCAGCATTTCATCCACCAAGTCGGGAAAAATCTGTACTGCTGTATCATTGAAGTGAAGGCTGCCATTTTTTGATACTTGAAGCAGTCTCCTTTTAATGCGTAGGTCTGGGACTTCAATAATAATAATAATAATATCTCGAGATCGTCCCCACCTTTGGCTGCCTTCCCTCAGCTCTTGCTTCAACAGTGCTTGAATGGAGCAGGGTCATGGCCGCCCCATCCTTCCATTTTTCCACCAGACCAGCAAACCAACAGCCCGATCCTTCCTTTTTTCCGCCAGACCAGCAAACCATCAGCCCGCCTCTATCTGTGTCATGAACTCCCAGGTCCACCAGAACTATGACACCAAGAGCGAAGCTGGGGTGAACAGCTTGGTCAACCAGTTCTTCCGCGCCAGCTACACCTATCTGTCCCTGGGTTACTATTTCACCCGGGACGATGTGGCTCTATCCAAGTTTGCATCCTTTTTCCGGCATTTGTCTGAGGAGAAACACAAACAAGCTGAGAAACTCCTGACCCTCCAAAACCGTCGTGGAGGGAGAGTCTTTCTCCAGGATGTTAAAAAACCGGAGCAGGATGAATGGGAGAAGAATGTGAACCAGGCTCTGCTGGATCTGCACAAGATCGCTTCTCACCACGTGGATCCTCACATGTGTGACTTCCTGGAGACTCAATACCTTGACGAGGAGGTGAAGCTGATCAAGAAGCTGGGTGATCACCTGACCTACCTGAAGCGGGTGCGTGCCAGCGAGGACGGCCTGGGCGAGTACCTCTTCGATCGCCTCACCTTGGGCGAGTCCAGCGACTGAGCTGCAGAGTGCTGGATCCCTCCAGAGTCCTCCCACCAACCTGTCCAGCTGTGTTGCTCTAATTTGTCATGTGCCTATGTTTAAAAAAAAGTTTGGCTGTTCAGTGAATGAGGCATGCCTCTACCCTGCACATCTTGGGGAGGAGAGTCTGTAACTGGCATTAAATAAAACTTGCCATTAAGCACTACACTGGCACGTGTTTGTGTGTGTATATGTGCATGCTAACTAGGATAACCTTTGCACAGCATTTTGGATTCAGTGATATTGCCCAGTTTAGCTTCCATGGATTGAGGAGTGGGTGACCTCTCCTAAAACAAACTGACCTCCAGTTCAGCTAATACAGGGTAACTGTGCCTTCCCTCTGTTCTCTGCCTTCTGTAATCAAAGATATGATCATCTGCCACTGTATCATGGCTTCCCCGGACTGTCTAAGGGCTGGCTTGCCTGGGCTTCCCACAGCCACGGGGCGCCCGGGCAAGCTAAGGGAAGGCATGGGGGTGTGGCCTAATATGCTAATGTGCTGTGCTGTTGGGCTGTGGCCTAATACGTTAATGAGTTTCTGCTGTTGGGTGTGGCCTATTATGCTAATGAGTTCCTCTACAAAAAAAGCCCTGCACATATTTATTTTCTAATGTTAGTATCCTGGCTTTTGCCCACTTTTCACGCTTTTGTAGTTGTTGAACCCCGCCTTGATTGGCTAGCACAGCTTCCATGGCCATATCGGCTGTTTGTACTACTTGCTGAAGCATTTTGTGCATGGTGTCTAACTGTTCGGCCAAGGGTTTCCAAATTTCATGCAGATTGTCGAGTATTTCCTTCTTGAAGTCTTTCAGTTCCTCATGGAGGTCTTGTTTGGTTAGGTTTTCTTTAGAGGCTTTCCCTAAGTCGAGTCCGGCCACCATTTGGAATGACCGTTGCGTTGATTGAGGGGCAATTTTCTGAAGATCTTTTTTCGATAAAAAGTCTGTCAGAAGCCTGGTGCTTCCAGATTGTGATTTAGTTTTATGTTCCTCTGGCTTACCCATGCTTTCTGAAGAGAAGATTTAATCACTTGTTGTGACTTTTAAAAGCAAAGTGGGCAGATCAGATCCAGAGCTCTCCCCCTACACGTCTGCCATCAGCTGCCCCGACGCTCCACCCCCCACCAATGAGAGCTAATGGAATGTTGGAGAGAGACAGCAGTTAAGAGGGCATTTTGGAGTTGCCATCTAAGGAACGAGAGGGAAATAACAGTCTGATTGAGTGAAGCTAAGGGGAAAGTAAGCTTAAAGGTAACTGATGAGGAAATCAATTTGTAACATGAGATTCAAGATGCTGGAACAGGGGAACAGTTCAAAAGTTCAATGGAAGTGAAACATAACTTCTACCTTCCTTTGGTCAGTGTTATATTCATACCATAAATAAGAGTTAACTTCTTGTTTTGTTTAACCCTGTGGGCTGTGTGTCTCAGGGAAAGATCTTAGTCTATACATGTTTAAGATATGACTAAGTGGTGGCAGTGTGTGCATGGGTCAGTGTTTGAGCCCCCAACCCCAATAACTCTGGGAAGTTTTTGAGTGAGGGTTGTTATAGAAGGGGTGGGCTTCCCCGTCTGCTGATGCCTCTGTGAGTGAGAGAGAGTACATGAGATGCAAAATGGTCATGGTTCTCTAAAGAGTTTTAAAAAGATGAGAAACGTAGCAAGGGTGATGGCCTTACCTACTTGTAACCTGGAACCTGAGAGAGAGGGGTTTCTGAGGGTGGTAGGCACTCTGTGTGACTGGAAAGGGACATAACGTAGAGGAAATTTTTTAAAAAAATCTTCCCTCACTGGCAGAAGACAGTGACAGAAAGGAGCAGACAACGATCCCTGGGGAGATACACATATTGTGCATCCTATTGTGGTGATGTGCTGATATTTTATATACAGTGACTCAGTTTAAATGAGTTGTTTCGTTGTGCAAACATCACATAGGTAAGTTCTTCTGTCTGTCCAGCATCGTGTTTAAATCAGACCTTGCTACCCTTCAAGAGGAAACTGAATCCCTGAAAAGGAAGCCCTCAGAGTGTAGCAAGAGATTCCCTCCTACATCCAATCAAAGAACCTGCAGTGTGGTTGATGGGCAGTAATAGGATGACAACCAGAGTTGCCAATTCCAGCTTGAGAGAAGTTTGTGGAGATTTGACGGTGGTACCTGAGGAAGATAGAGATGGGGCTGGGGGTTGGTGGCATTATTTATACTATACAGCCCACCCTCTGAAGTTGCCATATCTTACAGAGGAACTAATCTCTGAGCCACCCCATCCACTGCTCATGCGGAGCGGTGGAGCCTCAGCTACTTTGTGCCTCGGCTGAGGACCAGTGTTCCCTCTAAGCTGAGTTAGTGTGAGCCAGCTCACAGTTTTTTAGCCTCCAGCTCACAGATTTTTGCCTTCGCTCAGGAAGGATGGCTCCAGAGCAGACTAATTTATTCAGTCGCCAGATCGCCTGCTCACAACTTTAATGCCAGTAGCTCACAAAGTAGAATTTTTGCTCACGAGAATTCACAGCTTAGAGGGAACATTGCTGAGGACCCACACTTTTGAAACTATGCCTGACATTTTCCCCCAAAAGCACTTTCCTGGGGGCATCTTATTTGGGGGGGGGCATAATTTGGATCTCCACAGTGGATGGGTATGCTCTGGACTGCCAAGGTGTCTTGGGGATACTTTGGGGATCCCCTCCTGGCCCGTAACCTGGATTTTTTATCCTGGGGGGTGGTGCGGTTCCAGGGGGGGCTGCTGGTGGGTGGGAAAAGCTCGCTGCTGGTGTGGGGGCTTAATTTAAATACCCTTAACTAAATGCTGGTGCAGAGGCCACTTGTCCTTTGCGACTTCGGGTCTCTTCCTGCTGCCTTAGCAGCTCCGGCAGTGAGGGGGCTGCACAGCTGCCAACCCCTCCCCTCCCCTGGTCTTCTTGAAAAGACCCGGTGAGGGGAGGGAGACAGCAGGCCGGCCTCATTGTTGGCTGGGTGAGTTGTCTTTCTGCTTGCTAGCAGGAAGAAGACTCTGCAGCTAGTAAAGGAGGCCACACAACCCCCCCCTCTCTTCCCCTGCCAGCCAGCTGAGCAGGGTGTGGTTACACCCCCCCCCCCTCTGCTTAGCTGCTTAGCTGGCAGGTAGGGGGAAGAGGGGGGAGGGGCAGCCACTTGCCAGTGGAGTCTTCTTCCTGCTTGCTAGCAGGAAGAAGACACGGTGGACAAGGAGGCCACGCAGCTGCCCCCTCCCTCCCCTTTCTCTCCCCCACTTGCCAGCTGAGCAGAAAGGGGTTTTAACCCCCTTTGCTGGTGTTGTGTTGCAGCTGCAGCATGATTTCTCCATTGTATCCAATGGAGAAATCCTGCCACCACTACAGTGAGACTCCAGAGAGGGGGGTTTAATTTTTTTAAAAAACCCTCTGCTCAGCTGGCAGGTGGGGGTGGAGAGGAGGTGCAGAAGGAGTGGGTGCAGGGGAGGAATCTCGTGGTTGACACCGGTCACCCCAGAGCCACCCCAGGCTCCCTTGCCCTCCAGGTGTAGAGGAGGGGGGACTAGCAGGCTGGGGGGTAGGGGCACCCCTAATTTGAGAGGAGGACTACCCCAATGCCCCACTGCTGACTATGGCCCTGGGAGCCCCTGTTGGAACTCTGAGGATGTCTGCCTTTCTGTCATTCAGAAACTGCCTTTGGAGACTTGGGGGGGCTGTATGGGTAGGGAGGATGTTTGTCATGCTTCCAGCGTCTGGCTGGGGGGGGGGTCTGCCCAAGTGAAGTTTATCTGTTTGGTGTCACTGGCTTGTTCCTGAGGTGCTGTATAGACTCCTGTAACTGCAGCTGTCTTCTCCATGGTTTGTGTAGCTTTCAGGGGGTCCATTCTATACACTTTTGAACCTGCACCTGGCATTTTTCCTGGGGGCACCTTCTTTGGGGGGCTATAACTCAGACCCTCTAAGTCCAATCTGCACATAACTTGGAGGCCTGTAGGAGAGGATCAGGGGGAGGTCCATGAGAGATTGATGTTTCTAGCTTGCACAGGGTCCACTCTATACACTCCAATCCTACACGTGATCATACACACTCAATAATCCACTTTCAATGCACTTTCAAACTGGATTTTGCCAGTTCACACAGTAAAAATCTAGTTGGAAAGTGCATTGAAGGTGGATTGAAAGTGGATTATTGAGTGTGTGTGATTGTAGCCCATGTTTTCCCAGTTCATGCCCATCCCTACCTGCAATGCACAGGTCCTCTATTAACAGGGCATGCATGGCAATCTCTGTTCCTTCTTTCAGTTGTGGTGAAGCTGTTACACATGGAGCCTCTCAGCCACATCTACTGTTTATGTGACTGGGCTTTTCTAGTCCTCCCTTGTTTGATCCAAGGCTTCTAGTGCACTAAGTAGTAGGCTATATCCAGGCTTGCTTAATGTGCCAGAGGCCTTGAAGCAGAGAGTGGGACTGGACCGAGGTTTTTTTGGGGACCCTAGCTGGGCTATGACCACCACCACCCCGAGAGAAAAGTGAGAAGTCTAGAATGAACATTTAACTTACTGGGCATCCAAAATAAAAATGTAAAAATAACAAGAGATAAGCTCTTGAAAGTATTCTTTTTTCCATCATGGCAGCTATAGAAGACCAGAGTCAACACATATGGATATTCTAGAAGCCAGTTAACGTTAAGCTTCCTGTCAAGGCAGTAGAGGAACCTCCTTTTGCCTTTTAAAGGTAAAGGCTTCCCTTGTCTGAAAGCCAGTTGAATCTGACTCTAGGGGGCGGTGCTCATCTCTGTTTCCAAGCCGAAGAGTCAGCACTGTCCAAAGACTTCTCCGTGGTCATGTGGCCGGCATGACTAAACGCCGAGGTGCATGGAATGCTGTTACCTTCCCACCAAAGCGGTACCTATTTATCTACTTGCAATTTCTTGCTTTCGAACCACCCTAAAAATGTGTACCCAAGGCTGTCACCTAGATTTGCCTAGTGATCAGGCTGGTGCTGGCAGAGAGATTAATATTAACATAAGTCCTTCAAGCTGTTTTAGGCTTCTCCTTATCTTCTCCAGGGCCTCTGGTGTGCAAAACAACCTCCGCACATACCTTGAGTATGTATTTCAAAATCCGTTCTTGATGCTCCTCTCATTTCTGGAATTTGGGCGTCTGTGCCAAAAACATTTGGAGTAGAATCTGATAGCTTCATTTCACTAGAGCCTGAGTTCACTAAGACATTTTAGATCTGATCTGAGAAACAAAGACTTTCACCTGTTAGCCATAGAGTGACACCTGCTACCTGCTTATGGACAATGAAGGGCTGTCTGAGAAATTCATATCAGAAGAAAAGCAATACCAACAACTTGCCCAATGCTGTACCTTGACTGTACAATGATTTCCTCTTATAATCGATTATTATCCAGAAGGGAATACTGATTTTATACTAAGAGGTAGTGGGAGGGAAGGTGACATGGTATGGCCTGATGTCATCAGATCTGGGAAGCTAAGCAAGGTCAGTACCTGGAAGAGAGACCACCAAGAAGACTCTGCAGATGAAAACAATGGGAAACCACCTCTGCTTCCAATTTGCCTTGAAAGCCCCTTGATGGGGTTGCCATAAGTCCGCTGTGACTTGACAGCACTTTACACACACAAGCACGCACACGCACACACCCCTTGAAAATTTCAGTAATCATGACCTGTGGCACCTCTCAGCGTATAACCCATGATCGGTGGTTCCATCTTTTCTCCAAGGCTGATAATACCATGCCTCCATCTGCCAGGACTAGCCTAGTAATCATTTCCCGACTTTCAGTCACAGGGAAAGCAATTTCAATTTACATTAGCAAGTCCACACCAAACAAAAGATACCATTGATGCTGGAGAAACCACTAAATGCCTTGGGTTGATAAATGAGTTTGTTTATTGATTTTCAGAAAACAGATTAGCAGTACAGAAATGTCGATGGAATATTTTTCCTATGAGGATATATCTAAGTGCTTTTTGAAACCATGGGTAGAAAAAGCCATATATTAATGGGTTACAGGTAGAGTTAAAGTAGCCAAACCATGTTAAAACATCAAATAATACTGCAGGGGTTGAAAAACCTATAAAAGGGTCAATTAAAATGACAAAGAAACATGGAAACCAACATAAAAGGAAAAACCCCATCACTATACTCAAAGTTTTGGCAGCTTTCCTATCTTTACTTGTGGAAAACTGGTTTTGTTTACCATTATGGGAACTTTTAGGCTCATTTTTCATGGCTTTCAAATGCTTTTTGGATACCTCGAAAATTTTTGCATAAATTCCAATCATTGCACAGCCAGGAATAAAGAAGCCAAATGAGAACAGAACTGTTCCCCACAGTTTATTAAACATAACTGGACAGGAACTAGAACATGCAACTAAAGTTGCATAGCCTTCTATGCCAGAAGCATAGACTTCTGAGAAAACCACTCCAAAAGCAAAAATGGCTGGTGCCAGCCAGCAAAGGACTATCAATTGCCTAATCACAGGGACAGTGATTTTGCATGAGTAATGCAGAGGATGACAGATGGCATAGAAACGATCAACAGCAATGGAGCATAAGTGGAAGATAGAAACCAAACACAGCATCAGGTCAAAGCTGTAGTGGACTTTGCAGAAGGTGATCCCGAAGTACCAGCAGTTTTCCGCAGATCGGATCATGCTGTAGGGCATTATGAAGAAACCCAGGAGGAAATCAGTTACTGCCATGGAGAGGGTAAGGAAGTTAGTTGGGGAGTGCAGCTGTTTGAAATAGGAAATGGAAATTATGATGGCTAAATTCCCAAACACTGTGAAGATGATGATTCCGCTCATGGATATGTACATGACTCTTCGAACACCAGCTGATGTGAGGCTTTCAGGACAGGATCCATTTCCAAATTGAGAGCAATCAATGACATCCTCAGAGGAGTTAAGGAAAGCCATCATCCTGAATTTGAGAAAAAGAATCATTAGCTTTAGATGCAGCTTGTGTGTGTGTGTACTTTTTACATCTCTCCATCAACGGCAAGGCTGGAATTCTCATAAAATACATTTTATGTTTAGTCTGAAAACTATTCTCTGAAGAATGCTATGTGTCTGTAGAAACGTACTCTCTATTATTCTCATTTATTGATCATAAATATAAACATGGGGACAATTACTTACATGCAGCATTATTTAAAACAAAAGCCCCAAGTTCACGATCACACATCCCTATGGGGAGAAATGTGAAGGTTAGTTTTGGATCAGTGAGAGACCAACTAAGATGAAAACAAAGATTCAAAGGAATGCTGATGCACGAATACCCATGCAGCCTGACCCTATGCTTATGTATTCAGAAGTTTGAAAAAGGGGAAAAGAACTTTATGGGTTTATGAAATAAACCATGATGTGTTGTAAGAGCAAAAGAAACAAGAAGGTGGAGAACAGAGCACAAACTGAAAGCTAAAGAAAATGAAATGAAATGCAGTGTAATTTGTTAGAAGATACAGCTGTATTATAGGTTGAGTCTCTGCAGCTACCCCTGTCCTGTCTGATGCTCCTTTAGAATAAGAGCAAGCCATTCCCATCCTTCTCCATCATTTTCTGCTTTCCAATAAGCTAGTCTGTTGTAGTGATCAGAATGTCAGGTTTCAACCAAGGACACATGGTTCCAGATTCCTACTTTCTATGGAGCTCTCCAGGTGACCTTGGGCCAGGCACTCTCTCTCCCAGGCTAAGATAGCTCACAGACTAAGTGACTGGGGTGGGTGGGTATATGAACCATCCCAACCTCCTCGGAAGAGTCTATTAAATAAACTTACAAACCATATCCTTCCTGTTTGCATTATTGATCCAGCTCCAGAGGTCATAATGGGGCATGTTGTCTATCACTGCCCATTATCTGGACTTCTGCTTTACTAGAGTGGCAACTGATGAGATTGGATCTGAAACATTTTGGGAAATAATTGACTCAGTCCTTCTAATTAAGCCATTTTAAAGCAACCCCTGCAATTCATTTTGTTAATCTGGCAAGTATGTTTTGAGGATCAGTCTATTAGGGCTTCAGTACAATGTACACTTACCTCAAAGGAGACAGTAAGCAGAGGCTGGTCCATAGAAAAATCCAGTAATAAAAGTCATGTTCTACCAGTAGTCAAAAGCTCTAATTTCTTTAATCACATACAGTAGCTTTTCAATGATATTGCATAAATAGAATCTACTCACAACTCAGTATAGCCACACAGGAATCAAGTTCTGTTCTTTAGGTTCGTCTGCTTTCTTTAATGTCACCTATATCAAATGAAACTCTAGTTTATTCCGATTATGACATTAGTTTAATCTTGCTTTTCTAATTGTCAGATTTTAGAAATGAATAAACAGATTTCCAACCAAATGAAAGTTCGGAGGGGTGTGTATAACCAACATAGCTCCCCAACAGTCCACTGCATATTTCTAGATCTGCAGATCACATGTTCTATGAGTAAATGCTTCTCAGTGTTGCCAACCTCTAGGTGGTGGCTGGATATCTCCAGGAATTACAACTGACCTTCAGAGGACAGGGACTAGTTTATCTGGAGAAAATGGCTGCTTTGGAGCATGAACTGTATGGCATTATAGCCCACTGCCATCGAACTCCTCCCCAACCCCAAATCTCTTGGAATTTTCCAACCCAGAGCTGGCAACCCTACTGCTCCCTCTCCCACCATTTAATAATAATATACTTTATTGTCATTGTACATAGTACAATGAAATTAAAGATGCAATCATTTTGGTGATCTACAACAATATTCATATACACTCACACACCATTCACAACTGTCCCATAATTTGTAATAAGCAATGCTCACAGATTCCTCCCATTCCCCTCCCCACCTTGGCTTCAGCCATACTGAGCATCGTTTCACATGACTACATAAGTCTGTGGCAGCCCCTTTCATTCTCATGTTGACTTCAGATTTCCTCAATCTTATTATGTGAAAGTACCCTCATTAATTCATCGAGGAGTCTCCTTCTGAGATGGGCATTTTTATGGTGGTATTTGAAAAACCAGGTCTGAGATAACTTTAGTCTTAGAATGTTCTGGTACATGTGCATAACTGGCTCAGCAGCACTGCCTCAGGTGAGCGGCTAGAAGCTCACATAGGCTAGGCTTTTTCCCAGGCTAGCATGGACTGAGATGATTGTGTGAAAGAAATAATACAATGCCCCACTTTCCTGTCAAATCTCAACTATATCATCCTGTTTCTGTACAATTCAGTATATCAAGAAAAGAAAAAAACAACTGAGTACAATCCATTTCCTGAGCAAGACCTACTGAGATGGGGGCATGAATAGAGAAGTAATATTATGAAGCAAAATGATCCTGTAGATTATATCCTTCAAAAATTTGCAGCAAAATATTGTTAATTAGAATCCACTGAAATCTACCCCAAGAATTTTGCCAAGAAAGCAAAACCACATTTTCTACAATTTTGCTCTTCTTTCTTCTCCTACCTGCTGCTGCTGTTACATAAAGTCATTTAAACTGTCATGTTGAATTAGATGCCAGACCCAATCATTCCTCCTGGTGCCCTTTTCTAAACTAAACTACGATATAAGGATGCTGTGTTTTTATGACAATGCAGCCAGGTCTCAAGAGAATTTCAAGCACAAGAAAAGGTTCAGATTAGATCTGGTTTGTTTGTTTTGTTTTTGCAACTACAATCAAGGAAAGAGGCTGACAGGATTTTGCCCTTAGTCCTTTTCACTGGTTACAGCTTTGGTACTCAAGCCGTGCTTAAGGGCCACTTGTTACTTGCCATCTTCCTGATAAGTACAGCCACCATTTCCACTTTCCACTTGTTACTTGCCATCTTCCTGATAAGTACAGCCACCATTTTGTGTGAATACAGCTATATGTGTAACTTTTAGCATCAGTACATGTGATTGGCATCCCAGATTTTTTGGATAGTACACGTTCACATAAACCGAAACTGTAAAAATATATGCATTGATCTATTCACACAAAATGGTGGCCGTGTCAGGAGAATTGTGGGTAGTGCAGTCTCCCCTGTAACCAAAAAGGTCTTTTTTCTTTCTGTTTCATATTGCCTTGATAGTCCAAACTAGCCTGATCTCATCAGATCTCAGAAATTAATCAGAGGCAGGCAACGGCAAAACTAGCCTGATCTAATCAGATCTCAGAAACTAACCAGAGGCAGGCAATGGCAAATCATCTCTTGCCTTGAAAACCCTCTGGGGTAAGCATAAGTCAGCTGTGACTTGACAGGACACACACATTTCATATCACATCCCTGCCTCCAGCTCTACCACTCTCCGCCATTAAATTTATTTTATTCATTTATTTTTGGATTTATATCCTGCCCTCCCCAAAGGCTCAGGGCGGCTTACAACGAGGCATAAATGCCAAGGTTAAAACAGTAAAAACAGAGTAAAATGATACAATACAGCGCAATTCACTAAAATATCGGTGTTATATTTGGTGCTCCCCTACTCACTTCCAAATTTTAAAAACCAAGATGGTGTTCTCGATAGTATAGCTACACAACAACAGCAGTGCATATCCCCACTGCCCTGTCGTTCCCTAGAAACTTCCCGCTCCCTCCGATGGTACCCGCACCAGCGGTGACAATGTGTGGGAATTATAGGGCGTTGATGGAACAGTGGGTGGCAGCGGCTCCTATTCAAACGCCTGGCGGAAGAGCTCCATCTTACAGGCCCTGAGGAACTGCACAAGGTCCTGCAGAGCCCGGATCTCCCCTGGGAGCTTGTTCCACCAGGTAGGAGCCACCACCGAAAACGCCCTGGCCCTGGTAACAGCCAATTTAATATTCCTGAAGCCTGGAATTTCCAGGAGATTTTGACTCACCGACCGTAATGCCCTTGGGGGAACATGCAGGGAAACCCTTTGTTCCCTCTCTCTCCCATACTTTTTTGCTGCCCCTTATGCCTGGAACTGCCTCTCAGAATTTGTGTTTGATTGCCACCTCCCTACCTGTTCAAAACCCATCTTTTCCCTACATGACTCCTCAGTTCCTGATCATGTGCACTTTGAATGAGCAAACAAACTTTCCACATTTACACCCACCCTACCTCTACCCCTTTATTGTCCTCCCATTATTTTAAACTTTAGTTTATAAATGGACCAAGGGCCTGTCTTCTTGTACACTGTAAAGCACCATGAACGTTGATGGTGAAAATGATAACAATACTGATTTCTGCTTAATATCCTGATCTACTCAACTTATTGAACAGAGCAGCCAGCCCTGTCACAATGGTGGGAGAACTCCAGCTGGCAGCCTTAGCTGCCTGCTGCTGCTTCGTGGTGGTGGGAGAAAAATAAAACAAAGCCCAGAGACATCAGCTGCATTGCTGCATCACTTCTGGGGAAAACTTGGAGGTGACACAAGGTAGTTCTGGAATTGTTGGAAACTTTGGCCCTTTCTGCACTAGACCTTAAATCCTGGTTCAACCCTGTCCCCGAACTTACATTGTACACTACACTCGAGTTCACTCCTGTAATTATCTCAGGGTATTTTTTGTTTCTACATTACATTGAGGTCACCCCGGTTTCGCCCCACACTTGTCCTGGGATAAACTGATGCTGTTCCCTTTCTGCACTTGGATCTCATCCCTGGTTTTATTGGAGTTCAACTCGCGACACAATACCTTGCATTTATCCCTGGTTATAACAGCATCCATTTATTCCAGTCCAGCCCGAACTCTGGGACTCATGGATGGACCAACTGACCTGCCACCTTGCCTACAATGAGGTAACCGTTCCTCAGTTCCTGTGGCATGAACACTGCTCAACTCGCAAAGAGTCTCCTGGCACCTAGGATGATCCTTGAATGTACCTACAAGGAAATCATCAACACCCGGACCAGATATCTCATGCCCTGTCCAACAACACTCGCTAGACAGATCGAGTTCGAGGGCTACATTCAAAAGCCACTGCATAT